CTTATTATTATGCATGTTTTGAACGATTCTTGTTTCATGATGTTTAACATGATTTCTGCGTCTGAGTAATGTTAGGGTTCTTGAGGATGGGATAGATTAGGTGGAGGATGTTAGTTTGCCAGAGTGTTTATGTTAGATTCATTTTCTTTCCCTTCTGGACTAGAGTTTTATTAGCTAGTTCTTCTCTGATCAATTGGAACTAGGTCATAGAAATTTCATACCCGAACGGTATATGATGAAATGTCTGAACCAACTAGTGCCAGAGATTTACATGCTTAGCCCAAGAGATTGGTTGTCTAAGATGTTTATTGACATTAATGAGCTGTTTCTTTATGCCTGTTTACTGCATGTTTCATCAATGGGAATTGAGATTAGGAAGTGTTGTAAACTTGATAGTTTCTGCCAAGAGATTGGATTGACTAGTATTAGAAGTTCATTGTCTAGGGATTAGAATGTTTGCAGTTTGATAAACACTCGAAGTAGATTAGCATACTCCACCTACATCAATAACCTCATCCTCGGGATCTTCTATCCATTTGTGCTTTCTGTTTAATTCTCTTGTTATTTACTTGGTCTGCTTTGTTTTCTTGCCAGTATCAATAATCGTTACGTTTTAGTTTATGCATGGTAGTCTATGTTTTACAGCTTTACATTTATTGCATGTTTAACATGTTCGCTTAGGATCGCTGAAAACCAAAAATCATTTATGCTTGCTTCACTTAATCATCTCTGATATATCTTGATTGCTAGCATCACACCTGATTGGATTGATACCTATTGTACTGCAATGATATGATAGTACTCTAGGGTAATTGATAGAAAAATCCTAGTATCAATTTGGCGCCGCTGCCATTTGGGTGTTTGTGTGTTACATTTGAGATTTCAGACTTGCTAAGATCAAGTTTTTACTCAACATTCACTACAGTTACTCACTCTGTTCCTTCTGTTTGTCTATTGATTCAGGTACAACTCTTGCTCAACTGCTCCTACTCGACTGACACACTCAACCGATAAGAGAGATAAGCTGATTTGAGTTGTATGCACTCACGGTCGCAAGGCACAGAGAACTTGTTCCAGCCCTCCGACCGTATTGATCGCTTGGTACCTGCATCACGACAGCAACACAACAGAGTTACACCACCCCAAGTGGAGATGGAAAACATTCAACCACCACCCCACCCCCACCACGGGCACCTACACGGATTGGAGCTGGTGATGC